GCTCCTCTCTCCAGGGGGCAGAAAAGGCACAGTCCTTCTCTTGTAACTCATCTTCTTAGCAAGTATTTGAAGCAGCCTGCTTTCCATCTCAGAAGTGGTCTGTGGGCTTAGTTTACACGTTTCCTCTGGACACGCTGAGGCTGTAGCCTCCCGAGCTGCCGCATGGACTTCTGCGCTGGACCTGCTGGCAGGGGCCGGACAGACACCGACCTGCCCACAGGTCCCCGTTGATCTCTGTGCTCCTCCTACCTCATTCCTCCGCTGTCCTCTGGGCCACCGGCCCGGGGCCTTGGTCCTCCGAGCCCAGGCAGGACCGGGACCCTGGGAGCGAGGCTGCCAACAGGGAACTTGGCTGCTTGCACTGTGCCCTTGGCCACCTGGCCCAGGTCACCCATTACTCCAGAGCTTCTGACGTGGGGTCGGTTTTCCAGAGTTTTAGGCACACCACTGAGTCCATGCAGCTCTTTTTACAGTTTCAGATCTGAAGAGAGTGGGAAATTGAAGGAGAAATTCAGGAAATCTGAACCCATGTCTTACTCTAACAGGAGCTAGTGTGTGACCTTGTTCACTTCACCTGACTTCTTGGGCCTGTTTTCCCGTTGACCATGCGAAGAAGCAAGTCTACATGATCTCCCATGTCCCTTTCATCTCTCAAACACTCAGATTCTAAAAGGGCATGTTATCTGCTTGTAGTCACAGCTCCTCTGTATTCCTTTATTTCCCACACCATGAGCCTTTATTAAGTGCCTGCTAGACGCAAGGCACTGTGGGAGAAAGAGGGATGAATAAGGCCCGGGCTGTGCCCAAAGGCAGTGTCCAATTTATCTCGAGATCATTGTAACTCAAGCCTGGCCTGCGTAGCTCAGTGGTTGAGCATCAACCTATGAACCAGGAAGTCATGGTTGGATTCTGGTCAAGGCACATGCCTGGGCTGTGGGCTCCATCCCCAGTGGGGTACGTGCAGGAGGCAGCCGATCCATGATTCTCTCTCATCATTGATGTTTTTCTCTCCCTCTCCCTTCTTCTCTGAAATCAATAAAAATATGTTTCTAAAAAAAATCATTGCAACTCAAATTCGGCCCTAACACAGATGCTCCCTTTCATTGCTCTTCTCGGTTCCTTTCCCAGGTTGCAGCAGGAGGCCAGCTCCTGTCCTCGCACTCGTTTCCCGTGGTGCTGGTGACAGGGGCAGGGGAGAGTGGGCATTACGGAGAACATGATTTATGTTATTTATGTTATCTAAGCCCAGAGCAGGACTTCTTGTGAAAATAAGTGATACTTGTTCTCACTAACTTTACCCAGGTGCAGAGAGAAAGATGGGCAGTTGGAGTGTGATTGAGATGGCCTGTCAGTTCTTGTCCCAAGTGCCCCCAGCAGGGTCAGGGTTTGCCTTTGGCTCCCGTCCAGTTCAGCCTTAGTGGGCCCAAAGCACAGCCAGCCCCCGAGGGACCAGGCCAGTGGTCACCTCCCCCTGGTGGGTGTTGAAGAAAATGCTCCCTCAGAGCCTTGAGTAAAAGAGAAATCACAAAACTGAATGAATGAAAGTACCAAAATTCACACCTGTCAGTGTTACATGATGTATGTTGAAAAGTAATGTGTTTCAAACTAATAATTTTGTACATATTTTTAAATAAAGTATTATTGCTCTTTCTGTGTATAAGACTATGCTCTCTTGTCATAATTAGCACCAAGCCAACCGTCTGGAGCCCAGCGTCCCCTCAGACACAGCAACTTCAGGAAGCGTAGAACCCGGCAGTTACTCCCCTCGCTGGAGTGACTGAAGAAGGACATTGAGGAGAGATGAAACCCAGGAGACTGTGTGAGCAGTGGGGTCAGTGGTGGGGCCCAGATCGTTTTAAATCACGGCCCTGCTAAGTAACCTGTGGTCTTCACCTCCAACTCCCAGCGCGTCACCTTCGGAAGTCTCTCTTCCTCGCCGAACCTCTAAAAACTCTACTCCCCTCAGCCATTGCACAAGGCCCAGGCTGTGCCCAAAGCAGCTGTCCAAGCTTGTCTCCTTCTGTAGGAGGACAACCACGGCTCCCTTGTTTTCTCTTCCTGTCTCTTCTCTAGCGCTGGAGTCACCCAAACCCAGGCACCTGAGTTGTTTGGTGGAGCCTTGGGAGGTGACGATGGTGGTGACACTCTCCAGGAGGCAGCCCCGGGTGCCTTGGGAAAAAAATGAGACACAAGTCTCAGAAGTGTCATCCCAATTCCGAGTCCCCTGGAAAACCCACCACCTTTTCGTCTTGAATCTTGGTCCCTACTGTCGGGGTGAAATAAAAGCAGAGGTCATCTAGGGCGCTCTGCCAACCCAGACAAGTGACAAAAATCTAGATGGATTCCTACTTTGCCGTCCTGAGACCTGCGTGTGCTTTCCCCTTGCGTGGCTTACAGCGCACACTTTGGGCTAGCCCTGCTGGTTAAGTATTTACAATGTTGCTCTGCCCCCCTTGCTGACGCAGTTGGCAGCCCCGCCTCCCAGGGCCCTGAAGTCTCAGATGTCAGCGCCCAGGCTTCGCTCCTAGGAAATGCACGGGGTAGGGGAGCCAAAGGGCATGCCCTCCCCAAACCCAGGGCCACTTTGCTCTCTGCGTGATTCGGGCTTCGGGCAAGTGATTTGGTGTCCCAGCTTTCTCCTCTCCCACGCGGTGTAAGTTCTCCCCCCAAGGCTCTGTGAGGAATAAATGGACCAATGCACATGAAGGGTCTGCCCCTGCACGGCCGTGGCAGAGGCTGCACACACGGTGGCAATAGTGACTACAGTTGTACCGTCCACTTGCCCTGAGCCAACCTTCGTACTCCGGGGCAAAGGCAGCAATTTGTTTCAGAAGCTGGCTGTTAGTCCCCTTCCTCATCGTCAGGTGGGCCTAAGATTTCGGGGTTCAGTGGATAAGAACACAACATCCACAGGAGCCAGGAGCATGGGTTTGACTGTAAAGAGCGAAATTGCCGATGGCTGGACTGCAGCACTTGCCCGCATCCAAACTGTTGCCTCACTGGGCTGCCAGGAGAAGGACGGACAGGTGGACACCTTTCCATGCATATCCTGAGAGCACACTGCTCTGAGGGGCTCCTCGCTGAAGAGCTGAGCAGGGTTGTGAGCATGCAGGGAGGCAGGAGTGCGACGAGAGTAAGGCTGGGGCTGCTATCACAGCCGCCCAACTCGAAAGTGTCTGTGAGAAAATAAACCTGTTTCCCTCAATAAGTCCAGGGCAGTGGGTGGGTTCTCTGCCAGGAGGCGGTTCAGGATTCCCTCCTCCCGTCCAGGTTCCCGCTGGTCCTTGAGGAGAGAAAAGGAGGAGCAGAGAGGTAAGACACCCACACTGCCCTGGGCTTCCCTGTCAAGACTGAGTCACATGACCACACAGCTGCAAAGGAGGCTGGGAGGTGAGTCTACAGTTTGGAGTGTGTGACCAGCTCTGGCTTTCTTAGCCTGGAAGGACAGAGGATTTGGTGTGTTCCCAACAGTCTCTGCCAAGACATGGCACAATTTTGAAAAACAAGGGATCCTAGCACATATATAAATTCTCACATTGAAGTAGAAATCTCATCACTGACCATCTCCTCATTGTAAAATAAGCACACCCCTGTCACAGCGACCCCAGAAGGCTGCCTCTCTCTCCACCTCTCACCCCAAAATACAGGGACCTGCTCCCAGACACAGAGACTGCAGGCACTTACACCTGTGCCAAGGATGAGAGGAACCACAGGTAACCTTTCAGACACAGAAGATCTGAGACAGGAGGGTTAACCTGAAAACTTGCAGCCACAAAGAGATGAATTTGCCAAATAAGGGGAAAAAATTACTATTTAAAACAAAATCAACAGTGATTGAAAGGTTAAAGTCGTTGGTGCACAGGCAGGCAAAATAACAATTTTAGACAGCAAATAAAGAAAAATTGAATTTATTTAAAGAAAAGGGGTTGGGGGATGGGAATATCCAGAGAGAAGGGCTACACGGCACCAAGCCAAAGAGAATTGGGTCAATGATGGCTGCCCCTAGGAGCTCAAATCTTGTCCTTATAAGCAGTCAATGGCAGGAAGCTTTTGTCATCAGTGGGTTTGGGGGGCTTGGTGGGTGGGCTTGGGCAGTGAATTGGGTCAACAGGAATGCATTGTGGCTGTT